TTTTTTTTGAGTTATATCGTTTTGCTACTACGTTCCACTTTGAATCTGTCAATTCATTATTCAGCCTTTCTGAACTGAGATGACTGTGGATGGATGGTTGTATTTACAACCATTTTGTGAACGCTCAGATATTTTTATGCGCAGTTCGCGACATGATAACTGTTTTAAGTTTTTTTTAAAATTACATGGATACATTTTTTTTAAACTCGGAGTTGGTCCCGTAGAGGGTCGGATCACTTCGATGAACCAAATTCAATTAGTTTCAGAGTAGCACGTTCATATATTCGCAGTGTCACCAGCTGAAACCGTAAGAAAGGAATTAGTTTCACTTTTAACCTGGATAATGCTTATGTGACTCCGTTCCTCTCTCATTTTGTGAATAAGCACTCGTTAAACACGCCATGAAAATTGTTTTAGGAGTGAGGAAATTGTACAGAATATAGGTCAGATATGATAATGAAAGAGGGAGAGAAAGGAACAGTTTATAATGAAACCGCTCATGAGGGGATACAAATAAAGGGGATACAACTGAATAACGGTGATATACACGCAAACGCGTACCACTTTTGGACTGACTGCTGAGTACGACGTTGACGATGGAACGATGGTCCCAATGAAGAGCTTCTCGCAGCGTATCAAAAAACTGTTTTCCGTCTCTTTCATAGTGTCACTGTTGTTCAGGATAATTATTTATTGTTGTCAGGTGTTGATTTTATATTCTGCAGCCATAGGATCTTTTAATCATATTATTTCTCGAGCCGTTCACATGTTTTCTAAAAAAAGGCGTTGCTTTTAGTGGAAACTAATTAATCACGTTTCATGACAACAACTTCCTTTATGAACACATCGAATTTGTGGTAACATTACGTCTGCTGTTGAAATATTGAAGTTTTTAGAATTCCAGAGCAGGTCTGTCGAATTGGATGAACATATCCTCCTTGTGCGTCATGGGATTTCGACTAATTGGTAGTTCTCTGTAGGCTGAAAGCATTCTCCTAGACATCTTTATATTGCCTCTTCGTCTGCTCCGGCTAATTGATCTCGTTCATTCAGATGCACTTGAGAAATTGAAATTTGGTTCATTGCTCCTCGCCCTACGAATTCTCCAAAAAAAATTTATCACTTTCCTAGTGAGCGTTCAGTTGCATCAAACGATAATGAGCAACAATACGGCAGGCTTTAGAGAAATATAAAATCAAGCAATCAGCTTCATTTTTTCTATTATCTTTCTTCTGTTACAGTTGTCTTATCCCTGCCATATTTCATGTGACTAGCAACTTAGATGGCTCATCTCTTATTCATAATAGAATACTGTTTAAGTCATTCTCGGTTTCGTTGCTCTCGAAAAGGAATGTTCCTTACCAGTATGAAATATAGTTTATTTTGATTTTCTCATGTAATAACGAAAAAGGCAAATGATTTTCTGTGAATAGTTCTTGAGTGGGATTGGAAGGGTTAACAACTGTGTTTGCAAAATTCCGATATTTCAATAGTGAAGTGATCATCAATATTGTAACAAAGATTAGGAATGAGGTTGGCATAACAACAAAAGATCTGAAAAATCAATTTATTAAAATTTGAAATAAGCTCTGAGAAACGTTAAGGCGTTGGACTGTTGAATCGTTCACTTCGTTTCGCAACAGCGTTAGAATTAAAATCATGAAGGGAGCAAACGAATGGGTGATCATTTCATTAACTGATCCAGAAGGTGTTGCAGGATTAAGTTTGAGTAATATGGTAATCTCTTATAGGCTCCGAAGCATTGATTTCGTTACGGAATTTCATGTTGTGCTCCGACTTTAATGCACAAGTAGATCTTTCGTGGACGATCCCTTTGCTTTTTAATTTCACGGCATATTCCGCAGTTTCGTTGTCTTTCTAGATTGAAAATATCCCAGATGCGAGGCTGATTACTGCTTTCATCGTGTTTTGTAATATATCCTGACGAACTTGCACTGTTCGAAGACACTTTATACGAACTTGATGGACCATAATACGTGGAAAAAGAAGCACTGTTGAAGCACTGTCGAAATACGAAGCAAGAGTGGTGTCGTTATGAAATTTTGCTCATTGTTTCAAGAAAAACGAGAGCCGAGGTGCGCCATGATTCATCGTTTCATTACGGAATCGGTGGCCAACAACAAATATGCCTAGGAATGAGCTGGGAATGATTAATGCATGATTCGGGATAAGTATATTGCCAGAATTACACCAAATGTCGTGCTTTATTAAGTCCAGAGGACTCGAGTTTTTTTATAACCTGAATCCCGGGGTCAGGACCGGGATTCAAAAATCGGCGTCTCGAGATGCCGTGCAAACAAGTTAACAAACATACCACACAGGTGCCATCAACAGTGACGATAGTGAATGAGGAGGAAGCAGAACTAGATGGCGAACTTTGTGAATCGTCACGAAGATCGTCATTGTTATCTCAGTCATCCGAAACTACAGAAACAAAATCAACGAAGAGCTGCTCGACGACCATATCAATACCAGTAGGCGTTGTGACGCTGCCTGATAACGTTGATTCGTCACCGTATTATTCGATATCTCCCTCTCTACCAGCAGTTCCAGCAAACAGCTTTGTTAATCCATCACTTATATCCGCGATACACCATTCTGCATCTCACCAACGCAAATGCGCCTTTCAGGTGTCGTATTTTGTATATGAATTTGTTGCCGTTCAGATGACTGTTTAAATGTCATTTCGTTTGGATGTTTGAAAGTTGGTGAATGGTGTACATCGTTGGTCCTTATTCTATATTAATGCTTATTGTTTTATTCATTCGTCCTTATTCAATCCTATGCCTAGCATTTGATTGTTTCTATGCTCACTCATTATTTATTCAACTAATTCAAATGTTCTTGCAGAGTTAACTCGAAATTATGCCATATAATAAATCTTTCATCAATTTCCCAAAATGAGTGTCCCCCGATCGTTTTTTTGGAGATTGCATTTCGTCCCAATCACATTTGGGACGGTATTCCATTTGTGAATCTTCAAAATGTCACATTTGAATTCATATTTTGTTGTACTGAGAGATCGGCTTTAAAACAGTTCGCAAGAAGGGGTTGTTTCGGAATTCTTAGCATGTTAATGGTATTGTTGCGTGAGTGAACTTCCATTTAATTGTTTCTTTTTAGTCCAAACACACTTACAATTTTCATAAATTTCTTACGACCGATTCGTGTCGTATCGTCGCAAAGAAATAGACTCAAACAATATTTATCATGTTCCCATTGTACGAATCAATATATAATTGATTTCATATGTTTCATATCTGTGTGAGTGTTTTGGTATTTTGATTATTTTGCAAAGTCTAATGCTATTTTTTTATTGCTCGTGCATGTCAGATTTTATCGCTTATTCCGTCTTATTACTAGAGCGAAAACATCAGCTGATGATGTTGTGTAGTAGTCGTTTACCTCAGCTGTTTTTTTGTATCACTTCATCGATTTTTTTGAGAATATTCTAGCAATTGCGTTCAACCCACGCATTTGATGAAAGCTCGTTTTCTCTTCGCTACGTAAATTTCTGTTAAAACCTCTTTCATACTGATGGTATTAAGAAGGCATTCTTTCTTAGTCATTCACTTCAATTATGCAAAAAATTCGATTCGTCACTCTCGCGAAATTCGTTTGAAGAGTACATCGAATAACTTTGGCAAACTTGTCATCGTCTCATTTCCAATGGTTTTTACTATAGGGGAAAAGTTAAGTTGTGTTTTTGAAAGAATTTTAGTGATTTTGTTTTCTGATTTTAACGTTCAAAAATTTCGAATTATGGAATGTCTTTCAGCATCGAAACGTTCAGCCATTATTGTGTTGTGCTTGAGTGCATGGTTATGTAGTGCCTTCTATCTGTGATTTATGCTAAATTTTGCACATGACAGAACTTTTATTTTTGTTTGTTTTTTTATTACTTTATTTGTTATTACACAATGCCTCAAAAGTTGTATTAAGTGGAAAAAATGCGGGATTTTTTTATGAATTGTTGTATATATTGATTTCAGTAGGAATACGGTGAAGTTGTAAGCTTTCCTCACCCGTTTCATGAAAATGATTATCGCAGAACGTAGTTGTTTGTCAGGAGATTGAGATGATTTAGTTTGTTGATCACATTTCTTCAGTAAAATGTAGTGATCGGTTCGTTACACGATGGCGTTTGTTATGCACTCGAAGAAATGTTTTTGGAACTGTAGGAGTGAAACTTTGGTGGGCAACGTATTCATTTTATGTTTTGTTGAACAAGATCTTATTTTCGTTATCAGTGAACTTCCATGTTTGTTATTGAAGTGAAACTTGCATTCGTCTGTTTCTTAAATGTTCCGAGTGTTTCACTGTGATGGGTCGTTGACAAGACTACCATCGAACGGCATTATTAAAAATTGTTTTGAAACTAAAAGAACTGTTGTAACGCTAAAGCACTTATTTGAAATTTTGGTTGATATATCATTAATTTCACTTTGCATCGGAGTCTTGCGCAAGTCAGTTCACCTCTACTCGTTCTGGATTCGATCACGGAGTGTCAATGTTAATTCTAACTCTTTTAACTCTTTCATCTATGTACTAATTGTTGAATGCCGTTTTAACTCTGATGTTTTATTGCTTTCTGTTATCATTTTGATTCGTAGTTTTCAAAGCATGTTTCGTGGGTCTAATCGAAGAAGTGAATCCAAAAGTTACACTCACAATCAGTGAAATTGATTACTATCTTCGTGGTAATTGCAGTCAGATCAATTTTAGCAAAAACAATCCTTTTAAATCAGTCTCGTTAATATATCCTACAAAAATTTCCATCGCTTACCCAATAGCATATCCTTTAAATGGTTCGTCTCATTGCAACATCCAAAATTTTATCAGGTGAATGCTCACAAAACGCCGAAAACGTTAATTTCAGAGTGCAACGGATGCAGAGTTGTCACGTCAAACATCAATCGCGTCGTTTCATGATGGTTCAATGAATTCGAATCCAGCTACAGCACTTAACAAAATTGACGCAACCATTGACGATTCGTTAGTGTTTCAAAGTTTCACTTCCATTAATTTCATCATGCTTTCGACATTGATTTTCAGTCTGCTTGTTAAATGCTAGAGTTTACGGTCAGTATATAAAGTTGCAGTTAGCACTGTTACTTAGTGTAATCATGGATATCATATCTTTTGAAACATGTGTCAAGTTTTATCTCATTGTAACTGTTCTGCAAATGGAGTATTATGCCTCCGACAAATTCTGAAGCGATCAAGTAGAGGTGATACTTCTTTGTTATCAAATTTTGTTTTATTTGGAGTCACCGATTGAAGCCAGTTTGGATTCGTATAGTTTTTCCACTTATAAAAGCTAAACATGAAAGGAACACAATAACCAGCTGATGTATCTCTGTGTTCAAATTAGCTATGTTTGTCAGTGTCGTATTAGCCATAGAGGTAAAACGCTTCCGGTGAAACGCCATGACACTCTTGGAAGCTTACTATTATCGAGATATAGTTGGAAAAATCGTGTTTGTTGTATGTTTAATATGACTGTTTTTTATTTAAATCATTCACCAATTTTCACATCAATCGAAAGTTATATAAGTGTCGGCTATAAAATCAGCTGCTTATTTAAAGTTAATTGAACCGAAGGACGGTGACATGAAATATTGATTTCAACTCGTAGGCGTTTTAAGTGCGATTGAAATGAACAGCCAATGTATGCGATGGGAAAAGTATCATTGGTTGTGTCAGATGGGCATATAAGTGCATTTGTTTGTCTGATAAAACTTGCAGCATTCTGCGATTCATTTAGATCACAAACAAGACGTTCGTATCAATTTGTAGTTTCCTCACTGTGATCGCATGAGAATGTTTCGGGTGGTTTCAATTGAAAGACTATTGTCGACATAAAATGCTTATCGCAGTGAGCTTTTCTAAGGGTGATATTATTGGTTGTCAACATTTCATTGCAGAACGATGTAACATTTTTTATTTTTAATTAAAAGACGTTTTCAAATAATCTGTTCAACTGATTATTCTTTTGAATGAGTTCTTTGTTTCAGTAAGTGAAAGAAATCAATTCGCTAACAGTAAATTGAGAATGCGCTCAGAATGAATTTTATACGCTTATGCGTTCTTACATGTATGGATTAGCGTTAAGTCGTCACAGAATTTATGCAGTTGTGAATGACCTGCTGCTGATCATGGTTCTGTCATGAATCATCAGATGTAGGCAAAAGTGGTCGGCAATGGGGCGCCCTTAGAGAGGAACATCCAAGAGCCTTAAATGACCCTGAATTAACTGCAGGATCCTATATGGATTTGCGAGTGGTTTGACAACGTAAGGAAAAGTTATGCCACGTATCTCGGCCGCTATAGTTCAGGTTCTCGCTCGTTCCAGTAACAGTGAATAGGCGATTGAACAATCACAACCTGCAACCAGATATTTATAAGAGAAGAGAATTGTAACAAACCCTAACTTAAATACTTCAGCAAGAGCAGTCAGAGATTCTAAAACATCGTTCAATTTTCTCCACTTTATCATAACCATCCAAACACTAAAAAATTCCGTATTTTATTGAAATTTCCCTTTCCTCCAGAACTGCAAAACACTTTCCATCACTTTTCTTCTAATATGCACATTGAGTGGTGTAAGCGCATAAAGGAAGAATAACGAAGGCTTATGTGAAGCAGTAAATAAATATTCGCATGTTTGCTGGCTGTCATTATCAATACAATACATCTGTCAATCGATCATTAGATGATATTCCCCAGGCTGCTATTCTTATTGTATGTATCTCATCAATCGGTTCTTTGAAAATGCGGGGCAGTAGTTTGCGGAGCACTCATCTGTTTTAACTGTTTGACCCCTGTTTTTTTTTNTTTTTTTTTGGAATTCATTCTAGCATTGCCAGTCAGTTTTTCCCTTTAGATGTGCATTTTATTATAATTTATTTTCGGTGTTCATTATGAAGGGTGCATCTCTTATTGAATTACTGGTGCCTTGCTTACGTCTTTGAGTGCCGTTCTTCCTAAACAAATTTCCTCTTGAAAGAGACACATTCATGCACTAACTTTCCGTCCACTTTCGATTGTGATCAATGATTTATCATTTATTCAATTAGAGATTCATTCTTTTGTGCAGTTGATTGCTTTTGTTGTAAGTGCGCTTGATGTGCTGTCCCATATAAAGAATTTTAAATGAATATGAGTGCAATTTTTCAAAGGTTTTTGCAGTTAAATTTTTGCAGTTGAATATCGGAACACTGATTTTTTCTGCACTTCTCTTGTCAGTCTACAATATTTGCCTATCTCTGTATTTTTTTGCTCATTTTTTTCAACATTTTGTTGAGGATTGCGGCTGCGTATGAGAACGACTATTTTCAGTCATTATTTCCGACATTTTCTTTTTTACAAATGAGGTAAACGTTTTAGGAAGTTTTGTATTAGTTCATTTTCTTTTGCGATTTTAGAGCAGTTAGTTTATCGTTCTATAGTCCAAATTTTATGAGGCTGCTGTAATATATCGCGGTCTCCTTAAAGTCATCGTATTATAGTTTAGTTTCTTTTGAAATCATTAAATGCAAGAAAGGTGCGCAACATAGGTTTCTGCTGATGGTGCCATCAAATTAAGTATTGGTTACATTTTATATCGTAGCGTTGGAATGTTGATGCGCCATTGGTCTATTTGAGGCAATACAGTATGTGAATGCTTGGATTCGCA